GGCCCATTTTAGAGGCTTTTTTGGCCTGTTTTGGGGGCTTTCTTTGGCCTGTTTTGGAGGCTTTTTGGGCCTGTTTTGGGGGTTTCTTTGGCCCGTTTTGGAGGCTTTTTTCAGCCTGTTTTGAGGCTTTTTTTGGCCGTTTTAGAGGCTTTTGGGCCATTTTTGGGGATTTCTTTGGCCCGTTTTGGAGGCTTTTTTGGGCCCGTTTTTGGGAGCTTTTTTGGCCCGTTTTTGGGGCTTTTTTCGGCCCATTTTTTTGGCTTTTTTGGGCCCGTTTTTTCGTAAAACCCTTGAAAACAGGCCAAAAAAAAGCCCCTAAAACCATCCAAATAAAGCCTCAAAAATGGGCCAAAAAAAAGCCCTGGAAACAGGCCGAAAAAAAGACTGGAAAAGGCCCAGAAAAAAGCCCAAAAAAAGGTAGGCCAAAAACTTTCTTTTGTTATTTTCCTCTTCTAAATTTAGGTGCGTCTTATTCCGAATAATACGGTATGAATCGAGAGGAGGGGGCTGAGTGGGGAGTGGGAGGAGGGCGCCTTCTCAACCAGATTACTCACGTGATTGTGAATGAACAGGTGGATTTTCTTTTTCGGATAGCGGAGAAGCTGGAGCCTTTTGAAGAACTGGTCCAGGAAAGGGGTGGGCTGCTCAATAAAGACGCCAATCACGGTCAGAGGAAGTGAGTCTTCCTGCAAGGGGGCAGAGTAGGGAGGATGGGAAAAAAGATGATCAGGCTCAAAAGTTCACAGAGCTGCCTCTGGATTTGATTCAATTTGGTGAGTTGAAGAGAGCCACTTTTGTTCTGACCGAGGCTCCCTTAAAAAGCAGGAAGCAGAAATTGGTCCCGGCAAAACCTCTTTTATTTACACGACTGTGAATTCCTTTCATTCACAGTCAAGGCCTGTCCAAACAGTTTTTCAAAGGAATATTTATCAACACAGACCTTATCTCGCTTGGCAAGCTGCCACGTAACTAGTTTCCAAACGCAGTACAAGGCCAAACTTGGCACAGAGTCTCTTAGAGACACGAATAGAACTTTCCACTCTTGAAACTACCGAACGAACGAATTGTTTCCTGCAAAAGCCCCTCCCTGTTCGCTCCTCTTTTGTTTCCTATGGGAGGGGCCAATCATCTCCAAGGTGTGGCTTTACTCCCGAGTTGACCCTGCTTTCTGAGTTGTTCTTGTCTTCTGGCAGCTCTGTGCATGCGCATGCTGGGAACGGGCTCCAGCTGTTCCTCTGCCTCACTGCTGTCTAGCTCCCTCTCTGCCTCCGATGTAGAGCCCTCGTCCGAGCTTTCCCCAGCCCCCAGGACTCGCCCATGTTCCTCTCCAACCTCCTCACTGTCCGACTCTGCTGCCAGCTCTGCTGGTCGCCAGCGGGCCACAACAATTTTATAGCAGAGGTGTCAAACTGGATTTCTTCAAGGGCAGGATCAGCATTGTAGTTCTCTGAACTGTTCTCTCGGGGGTGGGGAGATACGAGACACGCGCCCCCACCCCCCATGCCCTGTTTGGCAGGCAGCAGAGTGCTGGAGGCCACACCCTGTTTTGGGTGCCAGTCCTTTGCTATTTCCAGGCCAGCCCTGTGGGCCAGATCTAAGCACCCCTTGAGTTTAACACCCCTGCTTTATAGCAATTGTACTTCACAGTACTTCACAGCCTTCTCTAAGCGGTTGACAGAGTCAGCCTCTTGCCCCCAACAATCTGGGTCCTCATTTTACGGACTTCGGAAAGGATGGAAGTCCGAGTCCACTTTGAGCCAGTCAGGATCGAACTCCTGGCAATGGGCAGAGTCAGCCTGCAATACCGCATTCTACAGTAACCACTGCACCACCATGGCTCTTAAAGCAATAGCATGTAGACTTGTATAACGCTTCAAAGTGCTTTTACAGCCCTCTCTAAGCGGTTTACAGAGTCAGCCTATTGCCCCTAACAATTTGGGTCCTCATTTTACTCACCTCGGAAGGATGGAAGGCTGAGTCAACAGGCAGCCGATCAGGATCGAACTGCAGACAGTGGGCAGAGTTAGCCTGCAATACTGCATTGTAACCACTGTGCCACTATGGCTCTTTTTATTTATTTTTTTTTTAAAAAAAGGGCAATCAATTTGTAAGAGGGGTTATAATTTTTTTTTTTTTAAATCCAACCTGCCTGGAAATTCCACTTCCTGACTACATCATCTCATCCTAGGCAATGCAAAAAATCCACGCAGTCAAATTTTCTTGCTAAACCACCATGGAAATTCAGCCTTGGCCATCTGGCAAATGTAAAATTGATTTAAATGCATCTTCCTTCCAACTTCCACATAGGGAAGTGTTGGGGTTTTCAAACCTACAAATGATTCAGAACCTCTAATAGCAATTTCCTATCTTTGAGAAGTTCAGGATTCTTTGCACAGTGCCAAGAAAAAGCAATGAAACCATGCAAAGGGCAGAATTGGTTTTTTTTTCAAACCTTCCCCAATCCTGCCCAGCGTTGCGCGAACTCTTACCTTCAAGCCACTGAGATTCTTCAGGCCTTCTTTGCAAACGGTGCAGCCGTCTCGAAGGTCCAGGACTGAGGGATGTAGTTCCCCAGGTAATTTAGCTGCAGCTTTGGGGAGAGAAAGAGGCTGTGCTCAAAATGCTGAAGCAGAAAACTTCCTTCATCAATCCGATTCCACCAGAACAGAATAGAATAGAATAGAATAGAAAAGAAAAGAAAAGAAAAGAAAAGAAAAGAAAAGGAAAGAAAAGAAAAGAAAAATACGAAATGCAATGCAATGCAATGGAATGGAATGTTAGAATAGAATAGAATAGAATAGAATAGAATAGAATAGAATAGAATAGAATAGAATAGAATAGAATAGAAAATACGGAATGCAATGGAATGGAATGGAATGGAATGTTAGAATAGAATAGAATAGAATAGAATAGAATAGAATAGAATAGAATAGAATAGAATAGAATAGAATAGAATAGAATAGAAAATGCGGAATAGAGTAGAATAGAATAGAATAGAATAGAATAGAATAGAAAATGCGGAATAGAGTAGAATAGAATAGAATAGAATAAATAGAATAGAATAGAAAATGCAGAATAGAATAGAATAAAATAGAATAGAATAGAATAGAAAAAGAAAATAGAAAATGCAAAATAGAGTAGAATAGAATAGAATAGAATAGAATAGAATAGAATAGAATAGAATAGAAAAAAATGCAGAATAGAATAGAATAGGGTAGAATAGAGTAGAGTAGAACAGAATAGAATAGAATAGAAAATGCAGAATAGAGTAGAATAGAATAGAATAGAATAGAATCAAATAGAATAGAATAGAGTAGAATAGATTAGAATAGAATAGAATAGAAAATGCAGAATAGAGTAGAATAGACTTGACTAGACTAGATAGACTAGACTAGACTAGACTAGACTAGACTAGACTAGACTAGACTAGAATAGAATAGAAAATACGGAATGCAATGCAATGGAATGGAATGTTAGAATAGAATAGAATAGAATAGAATAGAATAGAATAGAATAGAATTGAAATGCAGAATAGAGTAGAATAGAAAAAGAATAGAATAGAATAGAATAGATAGAATAGAATAGAATTGAATTGAAATGCAGAATAGAGTAGAATAGAGTAGAGTAGAGTAGAGTAGAATAGAATAGAATAGAATTGAATGCAGAATAGAGTAGAATAGAGTAGAATAGAATAGAATAGAATAGAATAGAATAGAAGTCGGGATTTGGCATACCTTGGTGGGTCCGTTTCCATGAATCACAACAGGGAGGGTATCAAAGGCCAGATTCCGCACTCTCACCTGGCCGTTTTCGAATTTGAGAGCCACCTCGTCTTCGGAAGCAAAAAAGCAGAGGAAGAAGAATGAAACAAGAAACAACAACAACAACAAAAGGTTCTTTCACATATATGCCAGGGGAGATAATGGTTTGGGGGGTCATGAATAAAGTAGATAGACCAGCTTATCATGCCTGCCATTCAACTTGCTTCGCCTCACCAGCTGCCAGCCTGACACTGGCACCTAAGGGGGAGGGAGGAAGAATAGGAATGCGGGAAGATGAAAGGGGGGACGGTCTGGGATCGGCACTGTGCTGGGCAAGAAAGGAGAGCTCAAGGCCGTGAATATAATGCAGAGATGGAGAAGGCACGACCAATCTCCCTTCCCAAAACAAAATAAGCATTGCTAATTGGACGCCGGCCAATAGTAAGGAGGCTGCCAGGGGGAAAAAGAATACTTAAGTGTAAAGTTTTTTTGCGCCGATCCGCCGGATTCCGCTTCCTTTTGTCTCTGATCATTTATTGCTCTAGTAAGGTATCGTCTTGGAGAAATCGCAGTCTTCTTTTGCTAGCTGGCTAAGTAGAATGGATGCCATTCAGCTTTTCAAAGTAGCCATGTCCTTAGAAACTGCCCCCCCACCCAATCCAATCCAAGATATAACCTTATGAGCCACGGTGGTGCAGTGGTTAGAGTGCAGTACTGCAGGCTACTTCTGTTGTGGCTCCGTTGCCTGAGCTTGGGTTATCAATAGATGCAGACTCTGAGAGTGAGGGAGAGGAGTGGGCAAGGCCTCCCTCTCCAGGATCCTCCTCTCTGGCAATGCCTCCGGAGGACACCAAAGGCCAAACGATAGGCTCAGAGCCAAGCACGTCCCCGCAGCCACAGGTGGACAGCGATGAAGAAGATAAGTGCTGGCTGGACCCGGGACAGAGGCGCAGGGAGAAGCATGCACAACAGAGGGGAAGGCGTGCCAGAGATTAGCTGAGTCACTGGACCACACCCCACAGGGTATAAATGTGGGTGTGGTGGCCGGTTCAGTTTGTGACGAGCAAAAACTGGAAATACTCCATGATCTCTGTGTTACTGGACTTTGCCTGCTTTATCGGACTGCATTTGGATTAATCCTTGTATTGTTGACACTCTGCCTGTTTTATCGGAATGCTGGCAGTTTAATCTTTGTTTTGTGTGAGTAAAGTCTGAATTGGCAGCTAGCCACTGGGTTGCTGCCAGCTTTATCTTCAAAGAGTTTTTGTTGTGTGGCTTACTAACTCCGGGCCATCTGTGGGGGTGCATGTGGGGTACGGGGACAGAACAACTTCTGCTGCCTTGCCGGCTGCCTGCAATTTGGCAGTTCGAATCTCACCAGGCTCAAGGTTGACTCAGCCTTCTGTCCTTCTAAGGTGGGTAAAACAAGGACCCAGATTGTTGGGGGAAAGAGGCTGACTCTGTAAACCACTTAGAGAAGGCTGTAAAAGCACTGTGAAGCGGTATATAAGTCTAAGCGTCCTTCCTTCCTTCCTTCCCGCCCTCCCTCCCCCCCTGTGGTTAGAACGCAGTATTGCAGGCTAACTTTGCAGCCCACAGCCAGCAGTTCAATCCTGACTGGCTCAAGCTTGACTCAGTCTTCTGTCCTTCCGAGGATGGTAAAATGAGGAGCCAGATTGTTGGGGGGGACGAAAATGCTGACTCTGTAAACCGCTTAGAGAGGGCTGTAAAAGCACTGTAAAGCGGTATATAAGTCTAAGCGCTATTGCTATTTCCCACCCGACGCAATAGGAGCAATCCACCCACTTTGATTTTTTTTTAAAAAAGTCTTAATGAAATCTTTGAGGGTATCTTCCCCGAGACAAGAAATAGAAGATAGTAAAATAAACCATGCAACAGGAGGAAGGGGAGATGCAACTAAGGGACAGAAGGAGAGTCATCCCAAATCTTCTATCAGTGGTAAAACACGCTTATAGCTGCCGTGGTTTTTTTTTTTTTTGTGCAATCTGCTGCCTGAGCTCCCTTTTTTTACATGAAAGTTGTAGTTTGACTCCAACTGGATTTGCTTGGCAAACTGCACAAGCAGAGGTCAAAGGCCTCGGGGATCTACCCAGATACCTCCCAGGCAAGAGTGAAATGCTACCGGTTCGGGCCGGTTCACCTGAACCGGTAGTAAAAAAAAAAGTAAAAAAAAAAGGTTCCGACGATCACAGCTATGGCGCACGAGCTTGGGAACCTTTTAAAAAACTTTTTAAAAGAATTTTTTACTACCAGTTCTTCTGGATAACCGGTAGTAAAAAACTGCTTTAAAAAAGTTTTTAAAAAGGTTCCCAAGCTCGCGCGCCACAGCTGATTCCCCCTCTCGCTGTTCTACTTACCTTCCCAAGCCTCCTTTTGGCGCATATTGTGCATGCCGTGCACATTTGATGCGCACTGCACATGCTCGCGCATAGCGCACGCTTGGCATGCAGTGCGCAGGCACAGCCAGCGAACTGGTAGCAAACTGGTTCAGATTTCACCACTGCCCCCAGGCAGCGATAAGTCCCGTGAAGCTTCTTTGCAGCTCTCTAGCAAGACTGGAAGAATCACCCTTAAATTGGCCAACGGTTTATTTCGGACGCAGGATTTCCTTTGCACGGATTCTCACCTAGAGCGCCGTTAAGGTTTTGGAAGATCCGGCACCTATGATCCAAAGTGATGTTGATGGCCTTCTGCAGAAGAAGAAATAGAAGGAAAAAAAATCAAAAACAGCAAGCGTGATAAGGGCTGGAAGAGGTAAATAGGAGCCTGGATAGCTCAGCAGACTAAGCACTGTAATTTAACACTAGCTGTCTGCAATTAAAGTAAGATCGAATCTCACCAGGCTCAAGGTTGACTCAGCCTTCCATCCTTTCTAAGGTAGGTGAAATGAGGACCCAGTTTGTGGGGGCAATAAGCTGACTTTGTATAAATATACAAAAAGTATGAAGGCTATTGCTTAACGCATTGTAAGCCGCCCTGAGTCTCCGGAGAAGGGCGGCATATAAATCAAATTAAAAAAAAAATGCAGGGGTGGGTTTCTGCTGGTTTTAACAACCGGTTCACCCAGCACCGAAAATGGGAGCGTGCGCTTCCAAGCATGCGCGTGGCTTCAAAAAAAACCCGGCGATATAGGACGGCAGCAGCCTACCTCTGGGTAAATGTAAGATGGCCACGTTGCTCAACAGCAGTGATGGTTCACCTTTTTGGCGCCGAGTGCCCAAAGCACGCAAATGCACATGTGTGTGCCTGAACCCCCAAAATGCAATGCGAGGGCCCCGTGCATGTATGTGCATTCTCCGTGCATGCGCGTGTGTCCCCCGCACATGGGCTCCCCCCCCCCGTGCCCCAGGTTGGTGCAGGAAGCTTTCCAGGCCCAAAATGGGATGTGAGGGACCTCGCACAGCGCCCCCTTGCCCCGTTTTGGCTTCCAGGTTGGTGCAGGCGGCTTTCCAGGCCCAAAACGGGATGTGGGGGGCCTAACCGGAAGCTCCCTGTCCAATTCTGGAGCCGGCTGGAAGTCCGGTTCCCCCACTATAGAGTCGCCTCCTAGCTCGGCATCCTTTTTCCGCTACCTGTCCTAACCGAAAGCCCTATCAATTGTGGAGCCGATCAGCAACAGGGAGCCGCAGCAGAGGGATGAAAGAGCCACATGCGGCTCCAGAGCCATGGGTTGCCGACCCGTGGTTTAGACGTATAGAATCACCAAATTGGAATCTGTTCTCTGCCTGAAGATTTTTACTGCAGGAAAGCTGAGTCCCTTTTGGGGGAAAGTGATTCCATTGCTAAACTCCTCCTGTCCTGAAGAAAATGGCTGCATCGGTCAACCACAGAATAACAGAATTGACCGGAAGACCTAGTCCAGCGGTCTCAAACCTTTAAGGCTTGGAGCAGGGGTCAGCAACCCGGGCTCTGGAGCCGCATGTGGCTCTTTCACCCCTCTGCTGCGGCTCCGTCACTCAAAATGTGTGTCACAACCGCCAATGTGTGACACCCTTCGGCACGCAATTTATTGAGCTTTTCAACCCCCCCGTAAGCCAACCACGGGTAAATCCAAGAAAAGAAAAGTTTCAGAAGAAAACAGAACGTTTAATTCGACTACATATGCTAGTTTTGTGGCCACTCAAGAAATAGCCAGGCACGGGAAGGGTTTTGTGGCTCCCAGTGTTTTCTTTTCGGTGGGAAACGGGTCCAAATGGCTCTTTGAGTGTTTAAGGTTGCAGACCCCTGCCTTAGACCAGGGGTCCCCAGCCTTTCTGGGTTGGCGGCTCGGAGCAGGGGGAGGGGGAAAAGAGGGGAGGGTTTTGTGGGAGGGGCAAGCGCATGTGCGCATGTGTACCTGCGACGTTCATGCCGACGCTTGCGCGAGTGGGGCTACGGGCACCCGGGACGAGGCTCGCGTGAGTGGGGCTGTTCATTGGTCAGCCACTCAGGCAACCCGGTGGCAATTAGCCCGTGACCCAGTAGTGGGCTGTGGCTTACAGGTTGGGGACTCCTGCCCTAGACCATTCCAGTGGCTGTCCAGTCTCTTCTTAAAAACCTCCAGGGATGGAGCCCCACAACTTCTGGAGGCCAGCTGTCCCACTGGTTAGATTGTTTACACGCATAGAGACCTGTCATGTCCTCAGTTGATTCAATTTATTAGTGGGAAACTATGCAAGGTCAAAATGAGGTCCCCGAATGGATTTATACCATCTGGGCCTGCCAGATTCCGCATATATGCTGCATTTCTGGGTCACCCACCAATACTATCTGCTTTTAGGGCTCACCCGCTTTTCAGGGTCCAGGAACACGTTGGTATAAAACAGCTGGTCGCTCTCACTGTCCAGGCCTTGCCAGTCGGCCACAAGCTGGCTGAGATAAGGAGCATAACCTATGAATCCTACAAGAAGAGAGAATGCAGGTGTCAAGTTTCGAGGTCGTCTCAAATAAATTGCATTTCAAACAAAGTCTTTGAAGAAAAACTCCCATTTATTAAGCACGACATTCTAAGTACGACTCCATCGTAGCCAACACTGACTTCCTGACCAAAACCCTCCCTTTCCTTTCCCCACTCCTCTGCACTCATTAGCCATCTTCCAAGTCATTCTACCCCTAATCTACTGCTCCAGCTCAAAGGAATTTCCCCCCTCCCATCCCATCTCCTAGGGGATATTATCTCCAGGGAAAATAAGTAGGTGAAAAGTCAAATGTCCCTTTCCAGACGCCTCCACTTCTCCTTCTTATGTCAGCACTAGAGTAAATGCAGCTTGAAGTGCTGACATCAGGCAGTCCTTGACTTATGACCACAATTGCGTCCAACATTTCCATTGCTACATGAGACAGTTGTTAAATGAACCATGGCAGTTGTTAAGTTAGAAACATGGTTGTTAAGTGAATCTGGCTGTTGTGGCCTGTCAGCCGCCGGATCAGAGGACGAGGAGGAGGAGGGATGGGAGTCAGGGTCAGCATCAAGGCAACCAGAGAGCTCCGAAGGGGAAGAGGGAATGGAGCTGGCAGAGAGAGAGAGAGAGATAGAAGTGGAGCCTGGGACATCCATCAGCCGTCAGATGGAGAGTCTACAGCCCCAGGTCTGGAGGTGGCTGATGAGGAAGAGGAGGAACAGCTGGGTCCAGTGCCTGACGCACGGATGCACAGAAGGCAGAGGAGAGGAGAGCAGTGGAAATCTATGGGCCGGTCCTTGGGACGGAAGAGCCACCGCTGCTAACAAAGCCCCTCCCTAGCTCTGGGGATAAAAGGCAGGGGCCGGAGATGAACAGATATGGCAGACAACTATTCAACTCCCTGCCGGACAGACTTATTAGCCTACGGTGAGAGAGAAACTTTTTGCTGGAGCTGCTGACGCTCCTTATAAAGGAATCATTGCTTCAACTTCAGAGGGTTTCTCGTGTTTGGGGAGCTGGGTCAGAACAATCTGCTTCCCTATTGGTCAGAAGGTTGCCAAAAGGGATGCTGCGACCGTCATAAATATGAACAATTGCTAAGCATCTGAATTTTGATCACATGCTGCAACAGTCATTAAGCGTGGAAAAACGGTCATAAGTCAATTTTTTTCCAGCCCCGTTGTAACTTGAAACGGTCTGTTGATGGCTGCAAATGTTCCCAGTCTCTCTCTTTCTTGAGCTGAAATGGGCAGCTTAGCCCACTGATCAGTGCTGACACCAAAGAAAAATGTGTATTTTTGAAGGTAAAACTTCCTCCGGCTCCCCTTTCCTTCCCGCTCGCTCAAGAGTTCCTGTTCTGCCCCAGCTACGGACCCCAAAGAACGCACCACACACAAACTCTATACAAAGCTTATTTTACTCAAATAACTCAGTCTTTATCAACCAAGGGCTGTTAATAAACTGTCTTAACAGCCTAGCAGAATTCTAAGATAAGGTAATCACAGTCTTACTAGAGTTGGCAGAAAGCCCAGAAGCAATTTTGCAGAGAATCCAGACATGAAGGAGAATGAACTAAAGTTGTTCCCTACAGCTTGCTGCAAGTGGTATTCCTCCTTAAATAGGCTAAGGGAGTGGCCAATTAGCCCCAAGCCTTACTCTTGAGGAGACCTCCTCCTTAGGAGCCACTCCTGCCTTTTGGCAGCTCTGCACGCCCGTGCATTGAGAAGAGGCTCCTCCTCTTCGTCCTCTTCACTTAAAGGAGCTTCTGAAGGTACTGAAGGCCCTGGCTGAATCCCCGCCTCTGGCACCACATCTTCTCCAGCCTCCTCACTGTCCGACTCAAGCGCTAGCTGCACAGGCTGCTGGCGCAGCACCGCAACAGCCTCCTCGTTGTCGGAATCAGCTACAATCTGCACAGGCCGCTGACGGGCCACAACAGTTCCTCCCGAGAGCTTCTGCTTTCCCCTTTTTCCTTACCTCCGGATCCCAGGAATCGTTTCCCTTCTTGGACCACCGGGTACTTGGCTTCCAACCTCCGGTCCGGATAGATGAGTGTCTCCGATGAAAAGACAACTTTGGACTTGGCCTGCTTGAACTTCTTCAGGATTTCTGCGGGCCCTGAAGCAAAGATGACGTCATAGCTGCAAGAGGAGAAGAAGAGACATCCGAAGCAGTGGTGGAATCTGAATCAGTTTGCTACCGGTTTGATGGCCATGCACAATTTGCACCAAACATGCAATGCGTGCGCATCAGTAGTGAAATCTAAAATTTGTTACTACCAGTTCTCTGGGCGTGGCTTGGTGGGGGGTGGTAATGTGACTGAGTGGGTGTGGCCAATTTTTTTTTTTTTACTTTTAAAAGCATTTTTTCTACCACCTCTTCGGTGAAGAGGTTGTAAAAAAATGCTTTCAAAAGGCTCTGACGATCCCAGCTGAGTTGCCTTTTTTTAAAAAGCCTCTGCCGATCAGGCAACTCAGCTGGGATCGTCAGAGGCATTTAAAAGAAAAAAAGGGTTTTTTTTTCTTTTAAATGCCTCTGACGATCCAAGCTGAACCCCGCGATCATCAGAGGCTTTTTTTTTTTTTTACTTTTAAAAGCATTTTTTCGGCCGAAGAGGTTGTAGAAAAAATGCTTTTAAAAGTAAAAAAAAAAGCCTCTGATGATTGTGCGGCTCAGCTGGGCATCGGGGGTGGGGGCAGGGATTTTTGCTACCGGTTCTCCGAACCACCGGCCGCCATCGCTACCGGATCGGGTGATCCGGTCCAAACCGAGAGCATTTCACCTCTGGTGTGCATACGCAGTACAGGCCAAAAGCAGGCTTGGGAAGGTAAGTAGAACAGCAGAGAGGCGGGAGGGGAGGAATCAGCTCTGGCGCACAATCTTGGGAATCTTTTAAAAAACTTTACTAAAGCATTTTTTACTACCGGTTCGGGCGAATAGGTTAGTAAAAAAATTGCTTTTAAAAAGTAAAAAAAGAAAATGGTTCCGACGTTTTCAGCTGTGCCACGCGATTATCCGAGACTTTTTTTTTTTTACTTTTTTAAAGCATTTTTTTACTACCTATTCGCCTGAACCGGTAGTAAAAAAATGCTTTAAAAAAGTTTTTTAAAAAAGTTCTGACGATCAGCTGAACGAAGCACGATCGTCGGAACTTTTTTTAAAAAACTTTTTAAAGCATTTTTTTTACTACCAGTTCGGGAGAACCGGTAGTAAAAAAAATGCTTAAAAAAAGTAAAAAAAAAAAAAGTCTCGGATAATCGTGTGGCACAACTGTGATCGTCGGAACCATTTTTTAAACATTTTTTTACTACCGGTTCGGGCAAACCGGCCCGAACCAGTAGCATTTTACTCCTGATCTGAAGGGAAATTTACCCCGCAAAGAAAGAAACAGGGGAATAATCAAGAAATGGCAAATGAAACCTCTCAATTTTAAGATCGTTATCCTTTTGCATTCCATTTTTTTTTCTTCTCCCAAGATGGAGATTCTGCGGTTGAGCTGCCATCATTACCATCATTTAAATGAACTTGTTTCAAACACGTCATTGGGACAATTGTCCGCAGTGTGCGATGTAGTTAACACAAAAAAAACCATAGTTAAGCAGTAACCAAAATACAGGTTTCCTCGACTTAACAACCATTCGTTTAGTGACTGTTCAAAGTTACGATAGCACTGAGAAAAATGACTTATGACCGTTTTTCATACTGGCGACCTTTGTAGCCATCCCCATGATCGTGTGATCAAAATTCAGACAGAACAGAACAGAATAGAATTACAGAGTTGGAAGGGACCTTGGAGGTCTTCTAGTCCAACCCCCTGCTTAGGCAAGAAACCCAACAAATGGTTATTCAATCTCTCCTTAAAAACTTCCAGTGTTGGAGCATTCATAACTTCTAGAGGCAAATTGTTTCACTGATTCATTGTTCTAACTTTCAGGAATTTTCTCCTTAGTTCTAAGTTGCTTCTCCCCTTGATCAGTTTCCACCCATTGCTTCTTGTCCTGCCCTCAGGTGCTTTGGAGAATAGCTTGGCTCCCTCTTCTTTGGGGCAGCCCCTGAGATACTGGAACACTGCTATCATGACGCTTGTCCCCTGGTTCATATTTATGACCGTCGCTGCTGTTTAGGTTTAGGTTTAGGTTTTATTTGATTTGTATACCGCCCTACTCCCAAAGGACTCAGGGCGGTGAACAGCCAACAATAAAATACATAAATACACAAAAATTTAAAAACCCGATAAAATCAAATTAAACTTTTTGGCCCAGACAAATTAAAATACCCCAATAATTTAAAAACAGATTAAAATTTACATATTTTAAAAAGGGAAGAGATCAGGCCAAGCCCGCTTGATGGAATAAAAAGGTCTTCACAGCACGGCGGAAGGAACGCAGATCCGGGATCCTCCGTATCTCCGGGGGGAGCTCATTCCAGATGGTAGGTGCCCCCACAGAGAAGGCTCTGCCCCTGGGGGCCGCCAGTCGACACTGTTTGGCTGACGGCACCCGGAGGAGCCCCTCTCTATGAGAGCGTACTGGCGGTGGGAGGCTATTGGTGGTAGTAGGCGGTCCCGTAAATAACCAGGCCCTAAGCCATGGAGCGCTTTAAAGGTGGTAACCAAAACCTTGAAGCGCACCCGGAAGACCACCGGGAGCCAGTGCAGCTCGCGCAGGAGAGGTGTTACATGGGAGCGCCATGTCGCTCCCATTACCACCCGCGCGGCTGCACTCTGCGCCAGTTGGAGCCTCCGGGTGCTCCTCAAGGGGAGCCCCATGTAGAGAGCATTACAATAGTCCAGGCGGGAGGTGACGAGGGCATGAGTGACCGTGCGTAACGAGTCCCGATCCAGAAAGGGACGCAACTGGCGAATCAGGCGGACCTGATAAAAAATCCTCCCGGTCACGGCCGTCAAATGCTCTTCTAAAGACAGCCGTGAATCCAGGAGGACGCCCAAGTTGCGAGCCCTCTCCGTGGGGGCCAATGATTCGCCCCAATAGTCAGTGATGGCGTCAACTGGCTATATCGGGACGTCGGAAACCACAGCCACTTGGTCTTGGATGGGTTGAGCCTGAGCCTGTTCCTCCCCATCCAGATCCGTACGGCCTCCAGGCACCGGGACATCACTTCAAGGGCATCGTTGGGGTGATCCGGGGTGGAGATGTACAGCTGGGTGTCATCAGCGTACTGATGGTACTCCACCCCGAAACCACAGATGATCTCGCCCAGCGGCTTCACATAAATGTTGAACAGGAGAGGTGAAATGGCTATTCGTCTAACCAGTTGGTCAGGCAATATATAAACTATCAATACATGTTTGTCAAAAAGATATTATATTGCTTTAAGACTGTATTGCATCATCCTGTATCCTGATTGGCTAATGTACTTAAGGGGAAGCCTGAATCATGGTTAGAGAACACTACACCATTTTATCTGCTTATTTGCTGTTACTCTCTACTTGGTCTCTCTGCATGATCACTGTTTGATCATTGCTACTTGTAGTTTTCTACTATTTATTGAATGTTTTAATACTGAACTTGTTCCTGTTTGAAACTCAAGAAGAACTGTTTTATCGTGTAATGACAACAACTGGTAAGAAGACTTTGTACTTGGAATATCCCTGAATTGATATTTTAACTATCGCCTTATCTGTGTATGACTTGGATTGTTTTTGGACTTTGCTTTACTTTTTCCTAAAAGTAAAAGACTACCACAACTCAGTGTTTCAGTATGTTAACTGTGATTATTCATAAACACTCTCAGCTGTTTTCATGTGCATACTCAAGGGGTACTCTGCTCAATAACCCATAACATTGGTTATGAGCCAAGAATATCCTTAACAGCTGCGTCCCAAGGTCATGCAATCCCCTTTTCTGACCTTCTGACGAGCAAAATCAACGGGGAAGCCAGCTTCACTTAACAGCTATGCTACTGACTTATCAACCGCCGTGATTCACTTAACGGCGGCAGAAAAGGTCGTTTAAAAAGGACAAAACGCACTTAGCAAATGTCTCACTTCACGAACAGATATTTTGGGCTCAGTTGTGGTCGTAAATAGAGGACTATCTGTATTCAGCTCCTCTGAATACAGACAGGAATCTCCCAGCTCATGTTTGTTCTGCTTAGCCGGGAATTACCTCTCGGTGAAAAGAACCACCAAATCTTCTTTATCTGCATATGCTTCCAAAGCCGATTTCAAAAGACGGACCTTCTGTCCGCCTGCTGTTCTCTGGTCCTCTCGGTCATGCCATTCTTCGCCAAGTCCCAGAACCTGGATGGATCAAAGGCGATTTTAACTTTGACAAAGTTTCAAACCACTTTGTTAGTGCTTGTTCCCTCTAAACTGAACTGAAGGGAACTAGAATAGAATAGAATAGAATAGAATAGAATAGAATAGAATAGAATAGAATAGAATAGAGGAATGAAGAATAGAATAGAATAGAATAGAATAGAATAGAATAGAATAGAATAGAATAGAATAGAAAATATGGAATGGAATGGAATGGAATAGAATAGAAAATATGGAATGGAATGGAATGGAATGGAATGGAATGGAATGGAATAGAATAGAATAGAATAGAATAGAATAGAATAGAATAGAATAGAAAATATGGAATGGAATGGAATGGAATAGAATAGAAAATATGGAATGGAATGGAATGGAATGGAATGGAATGGAATGGAATGGAATGGAATAGAATAGAATAGAATAGAATAGAATAGAATAGAATAGAATAGAATAGAAAATATGGAATGGAATGGAATGGAATAGAATAGAAAATATGGAATGGAATGGAATGGAATGGAATGGAATGGAATGGAATGGAATGGAATAGAATAGAATAGAATAGAATAGAATAGAATAGAATAGAATAGAATAGAATAGAATAGAAAATATGGAATGGAATGGAATGGACTAGAATAGAAAATATGGAATGGAATGGAATGGAATGGAATGGAATGGAATAGAATAGAATAGAATAGAATAGAATAGAATAGAATAGAATAGAATAGAATAGAATAGAATAGAATAGTGGAATGAAGAATAGAATAGAAGAGCCTTGGTAGTACAGTGGTTTAAAAAACCCTATTATTAACACAGCTGCCTGCAATTACTGCAGGTTTGAATCTTACCAGGCTCAAGGTTGACTCAGCCTTCCATCCTTTCTAAAGTAGGTTAAATGAGGACCCAGTTTGTGGGGGAAATAAGCTGACTTTGTATAAATATACAAAAGGATGAAGGCTATTGCTTAACGTATTGTAAGCCGCCCTGAGTCTCTGGAGAAGGGTGACATATAAATCAAATTTAAAAAAAAAAGCATAGAATAAATAGAATAGAATAGAATAGAATAGAATAGAATAGAATAGAATAGAATAGAATAGAATAGAATAGAATAGAAAATATGGAATGGAATGGAATGGAATGGAATGGAATGGAATGGAATGGAATAGAATAGAATAGAATAGAATAGAATAGAATAGAATAGAATAGAATAGAATAGAATAGAAAATATGGAATGGAATGGAATAGAATAGAAAATACGGAATGGAATGCAATGGAATGGAATGGAATAGAATAGAAAATATGGAATGGAATGGAATGGAATGGAATGGAATAGAAGAGGAGAGAAGAGAAGAGAAGAGAAGAGAAGAGAAGAGAAGAGAAGAGAAGTGAAGAGAAGAGAAGAGAAGAGAAGAGAAGAGAAGAGAAGAGAGAGAAGAGAATAGGAGTTGGAAGGGACCTTGGAGGTCTTCTAGTCCAACCCCCTGCTTAGGCAGGAAACCCTCCACCACTTCAGACAAATGGTTATCCAACATCTTCTTAAAAACTTCCAGTGTTGGAGCATTCACAACTTCTGGAGGCAAGTTGTTCCACGGATTAATTGTTCTCCCTGTCAGGAAATTTCTCCTTAATTCTAAATTGCTTCTCTCCTTGATGAGTTTCCATCTGTTGCTTCTTGTCCTGCCTTCGGCTGCTTTGGAGAATAGCTTGACTCCCTCTTCTTTGGGGCAGCCCCTGAGAGATTGGAACACTGCTATCATGTCTCCCCTGGTCCTTCTTTTCATTAAACTAGACATCCCCAGTTCCTGCAACCGTTCTTCATATGTTTTAGCCTCCAGTCCCCTAATCGTCTTTGTTGCTCATCTCTGCACTCTTTCTAGAGTCTCCACATCTTTTTTACAACATGGCGACCAAAACTGGATACAGAATTCCAGCTGTGGCCTTACAACTAACAACATCTTGTTTAGCGAATGACTTTCACTGTGCTGGGAGGGGTTTTTTTTTTACACAGACATTTACAGTCTGAACTATAAGATTCCGAAATATGATATTAACCCACTTAATAAGTTTGTGCTTTGAGGTACAATAAAGAAAGAAAAATAATTAGCAGCTAAGAGCTGTCGAAACAATTAACATCACAAGAAACTCATGGACCGACATTAAGAAATTATGCAGTATATTCTGCCTGGTTTTTGCCCCATGCTTTTCCAAAGGGTGGGTTTTAAAATTCGAGGAAATGCAGGGAGTTCTGAATTAAGAATTGGATTTTGTCTCGAAACAACCTGGGATCTTTATTCCAATTAGTCATTTGCACTACCTTGAGATTATAGTTAAAAACCTGGGCTGAACTTCTGAAACGTTTGAAGCCTTCCGTCTCCTTGGTGGCCACAGCGAAGACCAATAAATTATCTGGATGGATGAAAAAAAAAAAAAAGAATCAGACATACATCCCCCCCAATTATCCTCAATTGCTACAAATTCCCACATTCCCCAATCACTGCAACTTTTTTTTTCTTTTAAATGCATTCTCAAGAGACGCAACTTAGTTCTAAAACCCAGGCTGCGAATGGAAAGATTCCCAGATTTATTTCGTAGACTTTCCCCATTTCTTAGGTGGGGGAAAAAAATCTCTTATTTGTGAACTGGGAAAGAGACAGTCTGGGGAAAAAATAAATCTCGCCTCTTTTTTTAATGAACAAATAGCTCAGCCTTCAAACAATATTTCCCCGCTCCCCCTCTCCCTAAATATTGACATTTTTCCAACACCCACGTATGTGTGGGACGTGAGTTTAAATGAGTCGGAAATGGGTGCCCGAATTTCGCCTGAATCCTTCTCTCCCAGCATGTTCACATGTCACAAAACCGGCCTGGGATTGATAAGCAAATAAGCAAAGCAGCTAAAATGTAATTTATTATAATCCCTCTCGGGTTTTTGCTGGCATGGCAGGGGAAAACGGCATGCCGAAAACTTTTCAGAAATATGAGAGGGCAGCCTTCATTCACAAGAGCTTGTTCGGATGCCTTCAGGCCTGTGTGAAATACACACACTGCTGGGAAACTTCTTGCAAACCTCACATCAAAAGCATGCCAGAAGGGCAATTCCTAACCCTGTTTGAGAAAGAAAAAGTTTATATCCTGATTTATATCCAGAGAAGGGAAGGGATTATATCCTGATTTATATCGTGCTGCTTGCAGAAGATTCCCCCCCCCCCCACGTAAACGATGAAAGGATCGAGACTATTTGATTTGCCATGATCCACCGCAATCGAGCGAGACAGATTGGACCGGAAAAATTCATCTGGACCTCAGGAAAAGGTTGACACTTTTGAATAAAATCTGCTTGCCTGAAAAGAGGCTCCCCCTGATTTCTTGCTACTTAAGAAAGACACCCCATCTTGCCAAACCGAGCAAGAACGCACAACTTAGGATAGTTTTTTAAAAGAACTATTTTTTTGAGAGAAAAAGAAGGGGGGGGGGAAAGCAGAAAGGGAGATTTTTTTAAAAAAACACACAAGATTGGGATGTGCCGAGCGAGCCAATGAAATATTTGTGATGATCACAAACCAGCCCAAGTGAAATTGGACCAGTAAGGCATCCTGATTCTCATCCTTTCTCCTTCCCCAAGGGAAAAAAAGCTCCCTCGGAGGATTTTGGAGAAAGAAAAACTTCCAAGCCAGTTGTCCCCCAAACTTTTCAAAACCACCAACCAGTGATGGGGATGGCTGCCGAGAGCGCACTGCAAGAAATTTGGTTGTGCACAAACACAACGGCTCACACACACACACATTCCTTAGCTTACCGTCCTCTGCTGCGTGGCTCTCACCCTCCAGGGACGTTAGGAAAAGTAAAAGGAGCAGGAGGGATGATGGGGACATGGTGTGGGTAGACTTCGAGGAGGGGATCCCGCTTTGCGAAGCCAGCTGTTGGGAGAAAGGCTTGGAGGCTTTGCTTGGGAAGGAAGCCTCTCCTTGCCAGCCGGTGGGGGGGGCGGTTTGATGTGCCACGCAATGAACACGCCTCCCCCCCCCAAGTCTGGGGAGGAAGGGAGGGAAGCAGGCCTCCTCCTCCTCTTCCCTCTGCTCGTCTCTCAGCCAACTCAGGAAGCTCAAACTGCCCAAGGAGCTGCTGATCCAGTTCTACAGAGGAATGATTGAGTTTTGCCATCTGCACCTCCATAACTGTCTGCTTTGGATCTGCAACCCAACAAGACAGACAGAGACTTCGGAGGATCATTAGAACTGCAGAAAAAACAACGGCTACCAACCTGCCTTCCATGGAGGACCTGTATACTGCATGAGTCAAAAAGAGGGCTGGGAAAATATCTACAGACCCCTCACATCCTGGACATCAACTGTTTCAACTCCTACCCTCAAAATGACGCTATAGAGTACTGCACACCAGAACAACTAGACACAAGGACAGTTTTTTCTTATTCTCTTCTATTCTCTTCTTCTCTTCTCTTCTCTTCTTATTCTATTCTGTTCCCTATTCTTCCTATTCTATTCTATTCTTATTGTATTCTATTCTATTCTATTCTATTCTTTTTCTATTCTATTCTATTCCCTATTCTTCCTATTCTATTCTATTCTATTCTTTTTCTATTCTATTCTATTCCCTATTCTTCCTATTCTATTCTATTCTATTCTTTTTCTATTCTATTCTATTCCCTATTCTTCCTATTCTATTCTATTCTATTCTTATTCTATTCTGTTCCCTATTCTTCTTATTCTATTCTATTCTATTCTATTCCCTATTCTTATTCTATTCTGTTCCCTATTCTTATTTTATTCTGTTCCCTATTCTTATTCTATTCTATTCTTATTCTATTCTGTTCCCTATTCTTCCTATTCTATTCTATTCTATTCTATTCTTATTCTATTCTGTTCCCTATTCTTCTTATTCTCTTCTATTCTCTTCTTCTCTTCTCTTCTCTTCTTATTCTATTCTGTTCCCTATTCTTCCTATTCTATTCTATTCTATTCTTATTCTATTCTATTCCCTATTCTTCTTATTCTATTCTATTCTATTCTTATTCTATTCTATTCCCTATTCTTATTCTATTCTGTTCCCTATTCTTCTTATTTTATTCTGTTCCCTATTCTTCTTATTCTATTCTATTCTATTCTTATTCTATTCTATTCCCTATTCTTATTCTATTCTGTTCCCTATTCTTCTTATTTTATTCTGTTCCCTATTCTTATTCTATTCTGTTCCCTATTCTTTCTATTCTATTCTATTCTATTCTATTCTATTCTATTCTATTCTATTCTATTCTATTCTTATTCTATTCTGTTCCCTATTCTTCTTATTCTCTTCTATTCTCTTCTTCTCTTCTCTTCTTATTCTCTTCTGTTCCCTATTCTTCTTCTTCTATTCCATTCTTATTCTATTCCCTATTCTTCTTATTCTATTCTTATTCTATTCTATTCCCTATTCTTATTCTATTCTGTTCCCTATTCTTATTCTGTTCCCTATTCTTCTTATTCTATTCTATTCTTCTTTTTCTATTCTATTCTATTCCCTATTCTTCCTATTCTATTCTATTCTATTCTGTTCTATTCTGTAGAGAGGAAGGCAGAGAAAAAAAAAGAGGAACAAAATCAGCACAGGTTACCACAACCAAGTCCCAAAGAAAAGCGTTGGGAAAGCAGGGAGGTTAAGATCATGCCAGGGTAAGAGCTGAAATCAGGAGGGGTTTTTCTCCTCCCCTGCCTTTTAAAATGGGGTGCATGGCAGAGGCTCAAGAGATCTCCCGCTGCCAATACAGAGCCCTCTGCAGAGGCTCAGAGGCTCTGTGCCTTCCAGGAAAGCCTCGGGAGAAGAGGAGCGCCTGCAGAGGCTCAAGAGATCTTTTGCTGCCAATAAAAAAGCACTCTGTAGAATCTCAAGAGACCCAGTGCCTAGAATGAAGTGCTCTGCAGAGGCTTGGAGATCTGCTGCTGCCAGTAAAGAGCACTTTGCACAGGCTCAGAGACCCTGTGTGCCTAGACGAAAGCCCTTAAGAGCAGTTCTCTGCAGAGGCTCAGAGATCTCCCGCTGGCAATAAAGAGCACTCTGCACAAACTCAGAGACCCTGTATGCCTAGGACGAAAGCTCTTAAGAGCAACTCTCTGCAGAGGGTCAGAAATCTCCTGCTGATGATAAAGAGCACTCAGTACAGGCGCAGGAACCCTGCGAGCCTTCAAGGAAAGCCTTGGGAGAAGGGGAGCACTCTGCAGAGACTCAGAGATCTCCCACTGGCAATAAAGAGCCCTCTGCACAGGCTCAGGAACCCTGTGAGCCAATACAGAGCACTCTGCACAGGCTCAGAGACCCTGGTGTGCCTAAGACGAAAGCCCTTAAGAGCAGCTCTCTGCAGAGGCTCAGAGATCTCCTGCTGATGATAAAGAGCTCTCTGTATAAGATCAGAGACCCTGTGCCTTCAAGGAAAGCCTTGGGAGAAGAGGAGCGCCCTGCAGAGGCTCAGAGATCTTTTGCTACCAATAAAAAAAGCACTCTGTAGAATCTCAGAGACCCTGTGTGCCTAGACAAAAGCCCTTAAGAGCAGCTCTCTGCACAGGTTCAGAGATCTCTTACTGCCTATAAAGAGCACTTTGCACAGGCTCAGAGATCTCTTACTGCCTATAAAGAGCACTCTGCACAGGCTCAGAGATCTGCTGCTGCCAATAAAAAGCACTCTGTAGAATCTCAGAGACCCTGTGAACCTAGACAAAAGCCCTGAAGAGCAGCTCTCTGCAGGGGCTCAGAGATCTCCTACTGCTGATAAAGAGCACTCTGCACAGGCTCAGGAACCCTGTGAGCCAATAAAGAGCACTCTGCACAGGCTCAGAGACCCCGTGTGCCTAAGATGAAAGCCCTTAAGAGAAGCACTCTGCACAGGCTCAGAAATCTCCTGCTGCCAATAAAAAGCACTCTGTAGAATCTCAGAGATCCTATATACTTAGACAAAAGCCCTGAAGAGCAGCTCTCTGCACAGGCTCAGGAACCCTGTGAGCCAATAAAGAGCACTCTGCACAGGCTCAGAGACCCCGTTGTGCCTCAGACGAAAGCCCTGAAGAGAAGGCGCGCTCTCTTGCCTACGCCCAGGGCCTTCTCTTCCCAGCGGGGGCGCTCTGCGGATGCTCAGAGGCCGCCTTGCCCGCCGCCAGGGGAGCCCCTCGGCCTCGGGACGCTCCGAGCCGGCAAGAAGAGCAGCAGAAGCGGCAGCAGGAGGAGGAGGAGCCGCCGCCGCCAACGCCCCGCCCGGGACCGCCCCAGACGGGGGGGGGGAAGAGAAGAAGAAGCCGAAGCGGCGGAAGGAGAAGCGGAAGGCCGGGCAAACTAGGCCGCAACGAAGCCGGGGACTCGCGTAGCCGCCGCCGCCGCCGCCATGAGCTAGCGCGCCCGCCCCGATGTGGCTGCAGCAGCGGCTGAAGGGCCTGCCGGGGCTGCTGTCCAGCAGCTGGGCGCGGCGCCTGCTGGCCCTGCTGGCTTTCCTGCTGGCCGCCTCCTGGTACTTGGGAGGCGCCTGGCCTGGCCTCCTGCTCCGCCTGAGGCCCGGGGGAGCCTCGGGAGGAGCTGCGGGGCTTTGCCTGCAGGCCGAAACCCGGGCTTGGAGGAAAGGAGAAGCCCGGCTGCTGGGGGAAGGCCCTGGCCAGGGTCCCCCGGGGCTGGTGGGCAACGGGCACCTGCTGCTGGATGCCCAGGCCAACCGCCTTTGGGTGGCCCCCAAGGGGGGCCCGGCTTGGCCCACCGACTACGGACCCTTGGCCCAGCTGCGGGGTCCAGCCGGGGCCGAGAACGAGGCGTCGGCGTCCGCTTTGCTGCCCAAGGAAGGAACCTGGCGGAAAGTCCGTTGCATCCAGTCCGGGATTTCCGCCGGGTCATGCGTGACCGTCCGAGAGGAGCTGCTGGCCCACCGTGGACGTCCCCACCTCTACTTGCAACGCTTGTCAGTGGACAACCCCACCGACCGTCTGGTGGCATTAGAAGTGACCGGTCCGGCTTCATCGTCGTCGTCGTCCTCTTCTTCTTCTTTCTCCGGCCGTTCTTTCGCCACCAGTTTAGAGAAAGCGGGCGACCGTCAGTTCTTCCTGTCATCGGGCCGGGCATTGCAACCTGCCGGAGAGAAGTTGGTGTTGGTCGTGGTAGCGGCTAAGAAGCTGGTCAGCCGGGTGCAGGTGGCACCCAAGTCACGCTTCGAGGAGACGTTGGTGTCGGTGGTGCTGAGCTCGGAGCCCATCGAGGCCGCCCAGCTGGACGAGACCTTCGGGCGTCTGCGGGAAGCGGCCAAGAGGGAGATGATGGAGGTGCTGCCCTTGCGGACCGAGGAGCTGGTCCAGGAACACCGGCGGGCGTGGGACGAACTCTTCATCTCAGGTGCGGGGACACACCACACCGGCTTGGAGTCTGCGAGCGACCGGCTGTAGGGCGATGCCAGCTTCGGACATGGACGGTGCCGTTGAGTGTGGCATTCTGAGAAATGTGCCTTTTGGTGCTTGGTACCAACCAGGTGCTACAAAAATGGACGTTTCAAAGCTAGACAGGTATCCTCTGGCATAGGGGTCTCCAACCTTGGCAGCTTTTAAGACTTGTGGACTTCAACTCCTAGTATTCTTCAGCCAGCTCCGAAGTCCACAAGTTGCCAAAGTTGGAGACCCCCTCTGCTCCGGTAGTCCTATAAGCTTGCTTGGGGCTATAGAGGGGGGCCTGAAATGTACCACAAAACCTGTAATTGACTTGAGATTTCTTAATTCAAATTAGAATAGAGCTGGAGAATGGAGCTCAAGCAAGAGATGCTTGTCCCAAAGGGCCCCCCTTTTTTAAAATTTTATTTTACAAAAGGCAATTGGACTTTCTTGGGTTTTTTTCTTGAAAACATTTCCCTTCTCACCTAAGAAGCTTCTTCAGTTCTGAAGAAGAACCGAAGAAGCTTCTTGGGTGAGAAGCAAAACATTTTCAAGGAAAAAAAAAAGAAAAGATAAAAAGTCCAGTTGCCTTTTGGAAAAAAAAAGCCCTTTTGGGACTTAATCAGACTATAGCTGGAAGGGATCTTGGAGGTCTAATCCAATCCCTTGCTCAAGCGAGAGACTCTATACCAGATCAGACGAGTGACTGTCCAGTCTCTTCTTTAAAAAAAAAAACCCAGTGATGGAGCACCCACAACTTCTGGTGGCAAGCTGTTCCACTGGTTAATTGTCCTCACTGTCAAGACATTTCTGCTTTAATTCCAGGTTGCTTCTCTTCTGGATTAGTTTCCGTCCACTGTTTCTTGCCTGGCCTTCTGCTGCTTTGGAAAATAAATCCATGACACCTCTCCCTATGAGATGGTTTCTTGGTAGAGGCAATATGTAGGAAGTCTGCAAAAATCAGCAAGTTCTGCCTGTCTTAGCAGCAGTTGGAGCGATGGAGATTTTTTGTTTCTGGGGATAGAAATCATGACATTTTCTCCCCCCCAAAATAGTAGTATCTGGGCTATGGTATCTTCTTCTTCTTCTTCTTCTTCTTCTTCTTCTTCTTCTTCTTCTTCTTCTTCTTCTTCTTCTTCTTCTTCTTCTTCGCCTTCGCCTTCGCCTTCGCCTTCGCCTTTATTTATTTATTATAACATAAAATGACATTACAAGACATACAACATATATATATATGTATGTATGTGTGTGTGTGTGTATATATATATATATATATATATATATATATATATATACATACACACTCTCTTAACAGCTATTTCATGATCTTCTAATATTTACATTTTCTCCCTTTTCCCTTTATATTATTCCAGTTTCTTCTTATCCCCTTTCTTTTAGTTACAGTGTATTTATTAAGTCCCTGGTTTTCCGCTCATAGGTGGTTCTGTTATTTTCTCTAGCCATTCTTTAATTTTAGCCCAGAACTTCTTTGCAGATGGACATGTCCACCACAGGTGGTAGTATGTTCCGTTGGGCTACAGTATCTTCTAATTGTGTTCCTGGGAAATTGGCACAGATTGGAGAAATAGCCCTTGTTTAGGAAGGAAAGATCAATTCGAAGGCCTGCGTCTCCAGGGCCAGAATGTAGAAATTGCGTATATATATTATTCTCCAAACAGATTCACTTCATCCCCTGCCCCAAAATCCCAACAGCTAAGGCATTAGCTAAAATGTTCCTGGTTCGTATCTACCGCCTCTATTATCCCCATAGAATAAATCCCCATAGATTATAATTTTTTTTCTTTATAAACATCTTCTTTTCAACATTTTCACATCAGTAATCCATATTTATACATGTTCTCTTTCTTATCTTAATATATCTTTTATACATACATTTCTAGTATATCATATATATACCATTATAATATATTCTATTAATCTAAATATTTTATTTACATTTAACATAAACAGGTACCTAATTTCCTTTCCACAATTTTTATATCTTCTCATTTGTTTCCATATTCCTCCACCTAATTTAACCATTGTTTAGTTTTCTTTTGTTCCCCCGCTTTTTCCCCCCTTTCTCCTCCAACCATTTATACCATTTCTCCCAGACTAAGTAATACTCTGTTTCATTTTTTTCTTGTATCTCCTTTGTGAGCTTATCCATTTCCGCACACTCCATAATTTTTCTAATCACCTTGTCTTCTGATGGTATGTCATTGTTTTTCCAGTTTTGGGCAAAAATTATTCGTGCTGCTGTCCTTATGTGAATGATTAAGTATCTTATTTCTTTTTCATATGACCCGGTAATTTATTCCCAGTAGGAAAGTTTCTGGCCTCATTTCTATTTGTTGATTTATAATTTCTTCTATCTGTGTTTTAATTATTTGCCAAAATTGTTTTGCCTTATGGCAGGACCACCACATGTGAGAATAAGTTCCTTTTTGGTGTTTACATTTCCAACATAGCGGGGAGGTATTTGGGAACATCTTTGCCAATCTGGCAGGTGGGAGATGCCACCTATAAAACATTATATATATATATAGTCTTTATAGGGAGATTATAATTTCTTATAATCGGAATTACTCATGGAAAAATACCACGGTGGTTGTTAAAGGCCTGAGCAAGCGTGGCGTATACAGCTAGCCTTCGACTTACAAGTTACAACTGAGCTAAAATTTCTCTTGCTCGGTGAGACAGTTGTTAAGTTTGAGTTTGGCCCTGTTTTACACCCTTTTTTGCCGTAGCTGCTAAGCAAATCGCTGCGGTTATTAAGTGAGCAACAGGGTGGGTTAAGTGAATCCAGCTTTCCCCGTTGACTTCGTTTGTCTGAAGGTCGCAAGGAATTTGTCTTTGGTACATACACTCTCAGTGTACATAAATGTGGGAAATGGTCATATTTCGCTTCTTTTCAGTGCCGTTGTTAACTTTGAACGGTCGCTAAACAAACTGTCATAAGTCGAGGAACTAACTGGTACAGGTCATGTGAAGGTTTCTCGCTTCTCAGAGAAGTAGGGAGAAGGTAGAGAAACTCCCTTGCTATGTAACTGTACATGAGAATTTAATGGTGGGCTTTTATTATTATCCAAGACTTATTATCTTATTGATGGGACGTGGTGGCTCAGTGGCTAGGACGCTGAGCTTGTTGATCGAAAGGTCGGCAGTTCGGCGGTTCAAATCCCTAGCGCCGCGTAACGGGGTGAGCTCCCGTGACTTGTCCCAGCTTCTGCCAACCTAGCAGCTCGAAAGCACGTAAAAAATGCAAGTAGAAAAATAGGGACCACCTTTGGTGGGGAGGTCACTGCGTTCCGTGTGCCTTTGGCGTTGAGTCATGCCGGCCACATGACCACAGAGACGTCTTCGGACAGTGCTGGCTCTTCAGCTTTGAAACGGAGATGAGCACCGCCCCCTAGAGTCGGGAACGACTAGCACACATGTGCGAGGGGAACCTTTACCTTTTTATTATCTTATTATCCAAGGCCGTTTATTCCATTTGTCCGTTTATTATTCCTTTCAGGTGTGGAAATGCGCAAGATCACCGACGCTCACACCCCCTCCAGCGACACCGTCAATCTGACGCTCTACTTCGTCCTGTCCACCACCCCGGCTCCCCTCCTGGACCCCCACCACAGCCCCGAAGAGAAGGAGAAAATGGAAGCCACTCTGAACTATGCCGACCACTGCTTCAGCGGCCACGCCACCATGCACGCCGAGAACCTGTGGCCCGGGCAGCTGTCGACCGTCCTCCAGGTCTTGCAGCTTTCCAACCTGTGGAAGCTGACGTTGCAGAAACGCGGTTGCAAAGGGCTGGTGGCCGCCGGGGCCCACGGCCTCATGCAAGGGATGGTGCTCAGCTTCGGCGGGCTGCAGTTCACCGAAAACCACCTGCAGTTCCAATCCGACCCGGAAGTCCTTCAGAACAGCTACGCCTTGCGGGGGATCCATTACAACAAGGACCTGATCAACCTCGCGGTGTTGCTGGACGCCGACGGCAAGCCCTTCCTGCACGTCTCCGTCAAGTTCCAGGACAAGCCGGTGAAGCTGTACGCCTGCGAGGGCGGCTGCTCCAACGACCCCGTGGAGCTGACCTCCCAGGTGCACGGCCACACCTTCCCCGTCATGGTGACCCAGCCCATCACGCCTCTGCTGTACATCTCCACCGATCTGGTGCACCTGCAGGACCTCCGCCACACCCTTCACCTCAAGGCCATCTTGGCTCACGAAGAGCACATGGCCAAGCGGTACCCGGGCCTCCCCTTCCTCTTCTGGTTCAGCGTGGCCTCTCTCATCACCCTCTTCCATCTCTTCCTCTTCAAGCTCATTTACAACGAGTACTGCGGGCCCGGGGCCAAACCTCTCTTCCGGAGCAAGGTCTAGGGACGGCTGAAGTAGGGCCCCAGCTTCCTGGGATGGAGGAGTGGGGGGCTCGGTTTCTTCTCCCTGACATCAGCCCTGGACACCGGGGAGACCTGTAGGAGCCGAGAGCATCTTCGGAAGAAGGCAGCCTTTCTGCATTGTGTGTATGTGTGTGTGTGTTTGCACACCTGTGGGCCCCCGTCTCTACTTAACATGTTTGCCTTTATGGAAGATGGAGCTCTCGAAGGAGGGAGTGTTGTGGGGTACGGGGGAGAGACTGACGAAGAGGCGGGTTTAAAAATAAAGGTTCTTCTCCCAAATGATTCGGGGTTCTGTAAATTGTAGTCATCTCGGGTCTGTCGGGGTGCTTGCTCCCCAAAAGGGTTGATGGGGAAGCCTGGTTTAGGGGGTGCTGGGGCTGGCGCACCCCAAGGGTTAAGCAGTGTGTTCCCTCACTTGGACGAGTACCCCCGAAATGAACCAGGATGAAGGCGTGGGGGGGGGATGCTTCCGGGGAGGGTTGGGAAGCTTGTCACGAGCGATCTGACGGGACCCCAAAATGCAGTTTTATGCGGAGTAAAAATCAAACCTTAGCTGGCATCTATCTCTCTCCCTCTCTCTCTCTCTCTCCCTTCCTCCTCTCTTTCCCCCTCCTTCCCCTCCCCCTCCCTCTCTCTCCCCTCCCTCCCTCTCCCTCCCCCTCTCTCTCCCCCTCCCTCTCTCTCTCCCTCCCTCTCTCTTCCCTCCCTCCCTCTGCCTCCGTCTCTCTCCCCCTCCTTTCTCTCTTTCCCGCTCCCTCTCTCTCCCCCTCCCTCTCTCCCTCCCTCTCTCCCTCCAGTATATCTAGGCTTAGCTATTCAGCTGAAGAGCAGAGATGGGGGAAGCGCAAAGATTACCCAGCCCAACTGGAATGGACGCAGGGACAGAATTCTGGGCCTTTGGTCACAGGTGGGGGAACGGCCTCCCCTCTGACCTGAAAAAAAAAAAAAGTTTTAAAAACAGGGCAGGGAGTCCGTCGGAGCTGCTTTACGCTAAAACTTTGGCAAATGAGAGCAGCGTGGACATTTTGTGGGAAAGAGACCCCCTGGTCTATATAATGCGTGCATATTTACTGGAATCCGTTTTTTTTCCCCTGGTTCCTTTTGGCTTTTCCCCTCCCTTAAATTTGGCTGCTGCCTATTCAGTTATTCAGAATATATATATATAAATCTTGCGGGCTCCTGGATTGGAGCTGAAAGGCAAAAGGGATGCAGTATGATCCCTCCCACATGCTGGGGTAGACCAGGTGCCTCGATAGAAAATCACTTTATATATGTGTGTGTGTGTGTGTGTGTGTGTCTTTGGTTATTCGGGTTTTCTCCTGTGTAAAATTGGAGGTGTCTTGGCAACGTTTCGACGAAGTCTCATTCGTCATCTTCAGGCTGGGGTTTTTGGCTTCGTGCTTCTAGGAGCAATGTTGCTCCTAGAAGCACGAAGAAGCTCCTAGTTGCTCACATTGCTCCTAGAAGCACGAAGAAGCTCCTAGTTGCTCACATTGCTCCTAGAAGCACGAAGCCGAAAACACCAGCCTGAAGATGACGAATGAGACTTTGTCGAAACGTTGCCAAGACACCTTCAATTTTACGCGGGAGAAAACCCGACTAACCAAAGACCTACATACAAACACCTACGAAAACCTCAGAAAAGAAATATAATTTTTTTTTTTAAGAGGGACTGACGGGCTACACAACCCCTCTTGAAATCTTCCCCCTTCCTTGTCAATGTCAGGGAATTATTAGAAATAAGCACCACAGATAACTCTTAAGATACTCATTCCTCGCCCCCCCCCTTTGTATTCCTAAACTTTCTGTGGAATTGGAGAGCAATTTGCTCTCATCCTTAAAGCAATTCAAGAGATCCTTGCCTGCGGAATGGGTGTGTGTGTGTGTTTGTGTGCGTTTGCAGGTGCCTTTTTCAAAGACGGCCTAGCAAAAAGCAAAAGGAAGACAAAGACTGGTCAAGAAAAACACTCCAGAATCAGTTGCTGTTTTGAGCAAATAAAATGACTCTCGCCTGCAATCTCGGGTCTTTCTATCTAAGACGAGCCTTCCCTAGAGAGGGGGAAAAGCCCCATTTTTGTGTGTGTGTGTCTCTGCACATTTGCGGCGGCCCCTGAGTGTCCTAGCTTTGTCTCTACATCAGGGGGTCTCTCACCTTGGCAACTTTCAGACTTGTGGACTTCAATTCCCAGAATTCCTCGGCCAGCTTTGCTGGCTGAGGAATTCTGGGAGTTGAAGTCCACAAGCAAAGCTGGCCGAGGAATTCTGGGAGTTGAAGTCCACAAGTCTGAAAGTTGCCAAGGTGAGAGACCCCTGCTCTACATCCCCCCCGACCCCAAAGACCCCCCCTCCCCACCGCTTCTTAATTCCGTTGGCTTTCATTACCGATTTTGTTCTTCGTTGGGGAAAAAAAAAATACTTGAAAAAAAAACAAAACCGTGCATTAAAGATTTTTTTAACGTTGATGGGAAGTGATAAGGAGGCACCTTGGCTTTGAATGTTCTTGCTTAACTCGGGTTGAAAAAGTGGTGACGGCGGGGATTTCTCTCTCCCCCCCCTCCTCCCGAAACCCCTAAATTTGAGCGTTGCTCTCGTTTCTTAACTTATTGTTGGTGGTGGGTTTGAGAGGCGTCCCGTTTTGTTCCAGCGTTTCAGGCCGAAGGGGAGCCAAACGTAGAATGTATCTGTAGCTTTAATCATTTTGACTTTTCATCTTTTAACACTGATCAACAGGAGTTCTCAGTCTTTTCCCTTGGAAGGCGGCGTACAAAATACGACACCTTTCACGATTTTTATTGGGGTTGATTTAGTCTTTCACCAGGTTTGTTGCAGTGACCTGATTTTTTTTGTTTGTTTGTTTGTTTGTTTTAAATTCTAGAGAGACTTAACAGATTTTTTTTTTTTTTTTTTTTGGTGATTTGAAAACAATTGTGATTATTTTAAGATACCAAAGGTGGTGGGTTTTGGGGTTTTTTTGTTTTGTTTTGTTTTGTAAGAAATAAAAATCTTTCAAATCTCTACTTGTCTCTCGCTGGCTTTTTTGTTCTTTCTTTAAGTCCCGCTTTTGCTCTGGAACCGATTTTTTCAGTAAAACGAGAAAGGATCTTGAACTGCATTCTCGGGAGGGAGCAGAGAGCCTGTTTAATATCTCCTAATTCCCTTCACCTTTTTATCCCGAGCTTCGACCCGATGTTGAGGAATTCACAGAGCAACCCTTGAGTAGCAAGGGTGTGCTCATGAAAAGCGATTGAGTGTAGTTAGGAAAATAACACAGCCAGCACACAGATACACTGAGTTGTGTTTTACTTTCAGGAAATAGTAATAAGGCCCAGTCCAATAAACAGTCCAGGTCGTTCATATATAAAGCAGTAGATGGTTAAACAATAGTCCAGGGGTAATCCAATAACAAAGTCTTCTTACCAGTTGTTGTTGTCATACACGATAAACAGTTCTTCTGTATTTGCAAACAGTAGCAAACAGAGATAACAGAGAGCAAAACCAGCAAAGATATCAGCAAAAAGAAGCAAAGAGAAATAAACCAAGTTTCTAGCTCCCTTTTAAGGACATTGGCTACAGAGCTAACCAATCAGGACACAGTATGATGCAATACAGCAATATAGTAGTCTTAAAGCTATACCTATGGTTTATATATTGCCAATCCAACAAGTTAGGTAAAATCATTTCCTAAGAAATGCTATCTGCGGGAAAGGATGTGTGGCGAAAAAGGGAAAAGAGAGAGAAATTCACACAGTGAAATCTTTTACCTGTAAAAAAAAAAAACAGGTCCCTGGGGACTTCAGGTGCTCTGTCCTTGCAGATAAATCTTCCTAGAGAAAAGATGTAATATTTTTGGAACAAGATTGCTCTCTTGTGAAAAAAATAAAAAAAGCGGTCCAGCTAACCTCCCCTTTCACTATCTCAAGACAGACTTACCCGCTTACCCTTTTTAACGGACAGGGAGTCCTCGATTTGCGACCACAATTGAACCCAAAACTCAGCCCAAAAAACAAAACAAAACAAAACAAAACAAAACAAAAAAACATTGCTAAGGGAAACATTTGTTAAGTGGGTTTTAACCAGGGGTGAAATCCAAGAGGTTCTGACAGATTCTGACGAACTGGTAGCGGAGGTTTTGAGCAGTTCAGAGAATCGGCAAATACCACCTCTGGCTGGCCCCAGAGTGGAGTGGGAATGGAGATTTCGCAGTATCCTTCCCCCAGGAGTGGGGAGAGAATGGGGATTTTGCAGTATCCTTCCCCTGGAATGGGGAGAGAATGGAGATTTTGCAGTATCCTTCCCCCAGGAGTGGGGAGGGAATGGGGATTTTGCAGTATCCTTCCCCTGGAGTGGGGTGGGAATGGAGTTTTGCAGTATCCTTCCCCCAGAAGTGGGGAGGGAATGGGGATTTTGCAGTATCCTTCCCCTGGAGTGGAGTGGGAATGGAGATTTCGCAGTATCCTTCCCCCAGAAGTGGGGAGGGAATGGGGATTTTGCAGTATCATTCCCTGGAGTGGAGTGGGAATGGAGATTTTGCAGTATCCTTCCCCCAGAAGTGGGGAGGGAATGGGGATTTTGCAGTATCATTCCCCTGGAGTGGGGTGGGAATGGAGATTTTGCAGTATCCTTCCCTTGCCATGCCTACCAAGCCATGCCCACAGAACCAGCAGTAAAAAAAATTGGATTTCACCACTGGTTTTAACCCCATTTTTACAACATTTCTTGCCACGATTGTTAAGTGAATCGGTTGCAAGTTATTAAATTAGTGAGACGGTTGCTAAGTGAATCCAGCTTTCCCCCGTTGACTTCGCTTGTCAGGAGATTGCGTGACCCCCGGAGGACCTTGCAACCGTCGCAAATACGAGTCAGTTGCCAAGCATCTGAATTTTGTTAGGTGATTAACCATAACAGAGTGGGAAGGGACCTTCTAGGTCATTTAGTCCAACCCCCACCTATCCAAACAGGAGACCCTACACCATTTCACAACGTTGGTGTGAAAAATGATCGTAAATCACTTTTTCAGTGCCGTCGTAACTTTGAACACTCACTAAACAGTTATAGGGCTACCTAGATTCGAACACTGGGCCCTATCTAACAAAATAGGGAGCCTGGATAGCTCAACAGACAGAGCTCTGTAATTTAACACCAGCTGCCTGCAATTAAAGTAAGATCGAATCTCACCAGGCTCAAGATTGACTCAGCCTTCCATCCTTTCTAAGGTAGGTAAATTGAGGACCCGGTTTGTGGGGACAATAAGCTGACTTTGTATAAATATACAAAGTATGAAGGCTATTGCTTAACGCATTGTAAGCCGCCCTGAGTCTCCAGAGAAGGGCGGCATATAAATCAAATTTTTTAAAAAAATTAAAAAAAATTAAATTCAACGTAGAGAAAAGTAAAGTCTTACACTTGGGTAAGAAAAAGCCAAAATTACACATATAGACTGGGGGAAAGCAGGCTTAATAGCAGTAACTGTGAGAGGGATCTTGGAGTCTTAGTGGACAACCAGCTAAATATGAGCCATCAGCAAAAAAAGCCAATGCAATCCTAAATTGCATTAACAGAGGGATACAATCAAGATCAAGAGAGGAACTAATACCACTCTGTAAAGCCTTAGTAAGACTACACCTAGAATCCTGCATCCAGTTTTTTTATTATTATTATTATTATTTATTTCTATACCGCCCTACTCCCGAAGGACTCAGGGCGGTGCACAGCCAAACAATAAAAACACATACAATACAAAATTTAAAAAATAGAATAAAATCAAATTAAATAATTTTGGCCCCGACAAATTTAAAACCCCAAACTTTTAAAACCAATTTAAAATTGAATATATAAATACTAAAAAATATTTAAAATTTTAAAAATCTTTTATAAAAGAGGGGGAAAATTAGGCCAGGCCGGCCTGGTGAAATAGTAAGGTCTTTAAGGCGCGGCGGAAGGTGCGCAGATCCGGGATCCTCCGTATCTCTGGGGGGAGCTCGTTCCAGATAGTAGGTGCCCCCACAGAGAAGGCTCTCCCCCTGGGGGCCGCCAGTCGGCATTGTTTGGCTGACGGCACCCGGAGGAGCCCCTCTCTATGGGAGCGTACCGGCCGGTGGGAGGCTATTGGTGGTAGTAGGCGGTCCCGCAAGTACCCGGGTCCTAAGCCATGGAGCGCTTTAAAGGTGGTAACCAAAACCTTGAAGCGCACCCGGAAGACCACCGGGAGCCAGTGCAGCTCGCGCAGGAGAGGTGTTACATGGGAACGCCATGTCGCTCCCATTACCACCCGCGCGGCCGCACTCTGCGCCAGTTGGAGCCTCCGGGTGCTCCTCAAGGGGAGCCCCATGTAGAGAGCGTTGCAATAGTCCAGGTGGGAGGTGACAAGGGCATGAGTGACCGTGCGTAAAGAGTCCCGATCCAGAAAGGGACGCAACTGGCGAATCAGGCGAACCTGATGAAAAATCCTCCCGGTCACGGCCGTCAAGTGCTCTTCTAAAGACAGCCGTGAGTCCAGGAGGACGCCCAAGTTGCGAGCCCTCTCCGTGGGGGCCAATGATTCGCCCCCAATAGTCAGTGATGGCGTCAACTGACTATATCGGGACGTCGGAAACCACAGCCACTCAGTCTTGGATGGGTTGAGCCTGAGCCTGTTCCTCCCCATCCAGATCCGTACGGCCTCCAAGCACCGGGACATCACTTCAGGGCATCGTTGGGGTGATCCGGGGTGGAGATGTACAGCTGGGTGTCGTCAGCGTACTGATGGTACTCCACCCCGAAACCACGGATGATCTCGCCCAGCGGCTTCACATAAATGTTGAACAGGAGAGGCGAGAGGACCGACCCTTGCGGCACCCCACATATGAGGGGCCTCGGGGTCGACCTCTGTCCCCCTGTCAACACAGACTGCGACCGGTCAGAGAGAAAGGAGGAGAACCACCGCAACACAGTGCCTCCCACCCCCAACTCTTCCAACCGGTGCAGCATGATACCATGGTCGATGGTATCAAAAGCCGCTGAGAGATCTAACAGGACCAGGACAGAGGAGCACCCCTGTCCCGAGCCCTCCAGAGATCATCAACCAACGCGACCAATGCCGTTTCCGTGCTGTACCCGGGCCTGAAGCCCGACTGGAACGGATCCAGATACGTCGTTTCACAAGCCATGCCCACAGAACCAGCAGTAAAAAAAATTGGATTTCACCACTGGTTTTAACCCCATTTTTACAACATTTCTTGCCACGATTGTTAAGTGAATCGGTTGCAAGTTATTAAATTAGTGAGACGGTTGCTAAGTGAATCCAGCTTTCCCCCGTTGACTTCGCTTGTCAGGAGATTGCGTGACCCCCGGAGGACCTTGCAACCGTCGCAAATACGAGTCAGTTGCCAAGCATCTGAATTTTGTTAGGGGATTAACCATAACAGAGTGGGAAGGGACCTTCTAGGTCATTTAGTCCAACCCCACCTATCCAAACAGGAGACCCTACACCATTTCACAACGTTGGTGTGAAAAATGATCGTAAATCGCTTTTTCAGTGCCGTCGTAACTTTGAACACTCACTAAACAGTTATAGGGCTACCTAGATTCGAACACTGGGCCCTATCTAACAAAATAGGGAGCCTGGATAGCTCAACAGACAGAGCTCTGTAATTTAACACCAGCTGCCTGCAATTAAAGTAAGATCGAATCTCACCAGGCTCAAGATTGATTCAGCCTTCCATCCTTTCTAAGGTAGGTAAATTGAGGACCCGGTTTGTGGGGACAATAAGCTGACTTTGTATAAATATACAAAAGGATGAAGGCTATTGCTTAGCGCATTGTAAGCCGCCTTGAGTCTCCGGAGAAGGGCGGCATATAAATCAATTTTTTTAAAAAAATTAAAAAAAATTAAATTCAACGTAGAGAAAAGTAAAGTCTTACACTTAGGCAAGAAAAAAACCAAAATTACATATATAGACTGGGTGAAAGCAGGCTTAATAGCAGTAACTGTGAGAGGGATCTTGGAGTCATAGTGGACAACCAGCTAAATATGAGCCAG